TCGCAAGCTTTACCAAGCCACTAGGCAGGCGATCTCTACCCGCCTGGCGTCTATAGCATTGAAGTGACTTGGAAGTTGTGATTGGAGCTCATCGACGCGCATTACAGCGCATTACGCGGGTCATGTACTCTGACTCTCTGACTCGCCTCTGTACTCTGATAGGATTCTCCGGTGTTTCTCACCTTCATCGTGCTGATAAGGTTGGGGGACAACTTCGGTTTAGCTCTTTGCGGTTCCCTTCTGGTTTACGAGATAGTACGCACGAGTAAGCGCCGCTAGGTAGGTGCAACAGCAACGGGTCCACTCTTGGAGAGATCAAAGTGCATTTGTTGTGTGGAAGCGGAAAGTTTGCGAGTTCTCCGGCTAATGTGGTTTAGCTTCGAATGCTCTCATGATGCAACTAGTTGACAACCCAGCACATACGTCAGAGCTAGTGATGTCAATCTCAATCAGCCTCAATTAAGGACGATCGAAGAATTCATTGATAAGCAAGCCGATATCATATTCTACGATCGCTTCTATAACTGGGAAGTGATGGCTGGTCTATTTGCAAGGAAATGAAGACTGGCAAGAATTTCACATCAGAGGTATAACTCTAAAAATTTTGAAGGACACACACGTTTCAATTCACTTATCAACTCCGTCGAAGAATTCAACTAAGTGAGCAAGATGATATTTTTATCATGAGACGAGTTCCAGTCCAGATCATCATATATCATATCATCTAGGACCACACGACCTCTTCAAATTTCTCTGCAAGTTTTTTTTCAACAGAATGTGAACTATTTGCAGGTTTTGCCGACTACGAGTTCCGATTACCGAGGAGTTTTCATGGAACTGACAATGGAGCGATCCATGTGGGTAGGCTACTCTTCCGCAAAAGATTACTGCATGTCTCGCTCAAGGTAGTGTTCCAAATCCTGATACAAAGAGCTCTTATTCAAAAATTTACTTATTCCCTGCATTGATTACCTTATGCCATTTTCCAGACATGTTTTGCAGGCTGTTGACATTCCCGGAATTCTCCTTTGGAAATCCCCTTGAAGAAGTGGGTGTGGAGACAAAATTAGCCCTGTCCCCTGAAAGAGAAGGCTTCTGTTGCACGGAGTCTCAAGAGGGGTTTTCTTCTACCCTTCCATTATTTTACGCAGGGCAAGGCTTGATTCAGTCGTGCCATGCATTGCTAGGCTGTTCACAGCTCGCGGAGCTGAGCCATAAAAATTTGGCCTGAAATCAGCGTTTGAAGGGGCTCCTTACACGGGAGGTCGTCCGTGTCATGGTCAGCCTTTCAGAAACGGTTTGTTGCATGATCTAGAGGTCCATGCATGGACCACACAGATGGGGTTCATTTTTGCTAAACAATATTGAGGAATGTCAAAAATAGAAAACGTTCAACAAAGCGGCATGTTCAACCAGTTTTTTAAGCTCCGTCCAAGCTGTCGCGTTGAGGGAGTACGAGGTTATGAGGTGTTATTGAATCAGGCAAAGAAAACAACGCGAGAATGTTAAAGCCCATGTACTCCACTTGGCATGTAATGAGCTACCGAAGTTTCCTCAACGATTCCCGCCGCCTCTCTCCCCCCATGCAGTGACTATTTGGCGCCATGCTGAACCGAAGTGGATATTTCCGAACACCGTGTAGATCAGGGCGAGAATAACCGTCATCAAATTTCCACTCCAGAGTCCAGTATGTTTTGAGAGAACGCCATATTAACTCCACGGCACCTCAGAGCATCCTCAGTCTTGTTCTCAACTTATACCGTCGCCTTCTATAAAAGACCTCGTTATGCACTGCTGGGAGAAAATGAACTTGCTTTTTTTCGAATCAGGTGTTAATATTGTGCAGTATACATGTGTCCTTCCTTTTTGAACTTTGCAGTTAGTCAAGCGTTTACCCAAAGGGTTGGAAAGGGAAAGTTTCAAGTAGCGAGGTTGGATACGACTTCTAGAGGAGAATGACATCCACCACTGCACATGTTCGGTCATCACAGCTCAAAGAGCTCAGGAAAAGATTCTGCCGAAACTTTGCATTCAGAAGTGAGTGACGACCCCGATCACAATTCGGACGCTCATTTTTGGCGCGGAGGTCGAGTGGCCCCTACACACAAATTCAAATTGATTTCAGTGCCAGAACATTGGTTATTAGAATCAGATCTTGGATGGCATATATGTGGATTTTACATATTATCAACATTAAAGGCTGGGTGTCCGGAAGAAACAATGAAAATGTGATCAAGAGGATCGGACCCAATCACGATAGGTCGAAAGCCCGTTGCGCTATACCACTACAAACGTCCATTGTTATCAGGGAGATACGGGAGCCATTGATGAAACATGCGGGAATGACGAAGAAACCTATATAGCTAACACAAGCTAAGTGAAGTACATGAATTCTGACCTCACTTCACGTTGTTTTCCGTAGTTATTCGAAGAGGAACCTAGGAAGTACACACTCCTCACGTTACAGCTAAAACGGAGCTGAATAGAGTGGTTTAGATCGCCCTTCTCCCAAACTTATTTTCTCTCCTTCTCTGACATTTCCACTAAGGTTAGGCGAAAACGAACTCCATCTGATCTATGCAGGGCCCCCTATACCATGCGGCAAACCGTTCCCAAAGAGCTCACCATGACCTGAACGACCTCTCTTGTTAGCGGTACCTTGAACACTCGAAATGCCAAATACTTCGCGATGACCTGGCCTGATATTTGTCATCACTTCCGCATTCCTCTGAAACTCGAGTGTGTACAGGACCCACTATTTCGCTTCAAGGGAATGTTACGGAAGGTTTTCCCGGCAGTATGCAAAAAGTGCTCTGCATTCTAGGCGTCTCATAGCGCCTTTGCATTTAAATGTAGCATGGATACGGTTTCTCCTACAAAGAGCCCTTCTAACTGTTCTTACGCCGTGGTACACAGTAATGTCCATTGATAATGGTCGAGGTTGTTGTGCGAATTCATTTTCGTCAAACCTCATCTTCACTCACTGTAGGACACATTAGGATCTTTTGCGGAAGGGGACAACCGGGGACTTCTTCTCCGGAACTCTTACACAGCATGGAGATGATCAACTCAACAAAGCTCTAATCCATTCGTCTTCGCTTCTTTACCTTGACCCCCTTCCACGAAGAAATTATTGTCGCGAACTTATCGAAGTTCGAGAAATTTCACGGTAGACCGGGTGACAATTATAGACGACGGACACATCCCCAGAGAGATAGCGGAGGAACAACACAGAGATATCCGAGCATATTACAAGCCGTAAAATTGTTGCCGAACTGGAAGAAAAGCTTCGAGATTTTCTGCTTTTCAACCTTTTGTACTGAAGAGAGACCGAAGGCTTTGCATTTGTCTAGACGAAACGATGTTCAGGCAAAGCTTCAGACTTTGCCAAGACGCGCATTGATTGCTATGATTGCAAGTGCTTCCGCGCCATAAACGGGGACGCGCCCCAGAAGGGTTGCGAAGAATGCCAGCTCTCGAAGAGCCGCAGACCGGCAGGCACTCTGCTTAAAATTCTGATCTCGG